TTCTGGGTGGTCACATGTGACACACACAGGTTTGCTGCACTGCTCTGTAGTAAAATGCATCATTTGTCACCATTCTTCAGGTGCTTCCTGTGTTCGAATTTTATACTCACACCCTCTGCCACATGACTTTGCATGGTTATTGTTGTGACTGAAATACAAAGTTTCCCCAGTGCAGCAATGTTCAGGGGCCTAAAAGGCGACTGGGTCACACGGGCTCTAACTTCATCAATGGGTTTGTCCACCATGAGCTCATAGCTTAAAAAGCTATATATACCTATTGCTGTATTTTCCTTGGATGAGCGTTATTAGGGCCTCTGCCTTTCATGGCACATGGCGGGAAATGAAGCCTAGTGGGAAGAAGCATACCATGGGGTGGGAGGGTAGCTCTGAAAGGCATAGCTTGTCCTTGGCTGCTCCCCTTCTCTCTCCCACCTTCCTGGCTGCCACACAGTAAACAGCTCTGCCCTGCCACACCCTTTCAGCACGATGCTGTGGCCTCGCCATAGGTGTAAAGTAATGGAGGCAGCTTACCATGGACTGGAACCTCGGAAACCGTGAGGCAACATAAATCTTTCCTCCTTTAATTGCACATGTCAAGGTTTTGTCCCTGCAGTGTAAAGGTGACTGACGCAGTTAGGTCTTAGCAAGAGTGGAGGACACCTCCTGTCTTTGATGTTAGCATGCATTGGTCAGTAGAATGTGGGAAAAATGATGCAGGAGGACTTCAAAGATAGCTGCTTCATTTCCTGCCATGTGCCCTGAAAGGAACAGGCCCTAATAATGCTGATCCAAGGAAAACACAGCAGTGGATATATATAAGCCATCTTGAAGGCTGAACCCAAGCCACTGGCCCTGTAACCTGCTGCACATCTCCCCAGACAAACTGTAGAACTAACAGGGAGAAAAATAAACAAACAAATACTCATTGTGGTACTGATACCTTTGCTCCTTTTCTTTCTAAAATTTTTTAAATTTTTCTGCAGTACCAGAGATCAAACTCACAACCTTGCACTTGCCAGGCAGGTGCTTATGCCACTGAGCTAAATCCCCAGCCCTCCATTTCTTTCTTTTCTTTTCTTTTTTTTAGACAGTCTCACTATGTAGCCTAGGCTGGCCTCAAACTTACATCGATCCTCCTGCCTCAGCTTCCCAAGTGCTGGGATTACAGGCGTGCACCACCACACCTGGCTGTCCTTTTCTTTCATAGTAACGCAAACCCTAGCTGTTAACAGGCTGTTTCAAATAAGGTGAACTTCTCTGGCCTTCCTTGTAGTTAGATGTGGTTCTGGTTAATGCAATGTTAGTAAGCATGTTGTGGCAGCCTCTAAAATTCTTCCCTAAAAGCCGGTGGCATGCAGCCTTAATCCCGTCCTCTTCTGTGCTACCCGGAACAAGGATACAACAGCTGGAACTGAGGCTAGCAGTTTGGATCCTGAGAAGGAAAGTTGTACTTAGGGAAGTTGCTGCTACAAGCTGCCTGGAGAATTCTACAAGAGAAAAACAAATTGTGCTCTTCTAAGATTCACCATCCCTGATGCAGTATTCAAGCCAGGTTTTCAGTAGCCCTGGAAGAGAACTGTGATATTCCTGATCAGCAGACTGTTGACCATGTAGTGGGGACAGCCAGACCCAAGCCTCTCTCCGTGAGCCAGCACCATTCACAGACTGTAGGAGGGAAGAACCAGGCCTCACCCACCAGGAAGCGATCTCTGCCTGGAAACCGTACCATTTTCATTGCTTTGTTGGGTTGGGTTTCATTCTCTTTTGTTTTATTTGATTCTGTTAAATCTGATGGCAGGAGAAGCTATTTAAAGGTTAACAAGACATATTACAGTAGCTATTTTGGATTTACTATTGGCTTGTTTTGAAGTCCTTTATTGCATTGCTGTTTTTATTATCTCTATTGTACTCTGTTTTATTCAATTTTTACTATGTCCAAAGGTATCTGCAGCTATTTTGAAGACAACAAAAGGCATTATGGTAACTATTGTTGATTTCATAAGGTTTTGAAATCCTGTATCACTTACACTGGTTTATTTTGATTGGTTTTATTCTTTTTTATTTTCCCTGGTTTCATCTTCTTTAAAATAAAATTTTAAAAAATGAAAAAAAAAGATATTTGAGCTTGGTATGTTGTCACACACCTGTAATTCCAGCACACTAGGAAACTGAGGCAGGAGGATTACAAATTCAAGCCCAGCTTGGACATGTTGAAATTTAGCAAGCCTATCTCTCTCTCTCTGTCTCTCTGTCTCTGTCTCTCTGTCTCTCTCTCTCTCTCTCTCTCTCTCTCTCTCTCTCTCTCTTTCTCTCTCTGTTTTTTGGTTTGGTTTGGTTGTTTGTCTGTTTGTTTTATGGTGGATTGAACCCAGGTCCTTGCACTGAGCTATATGCTCAGCACTTTTTATTTTGAGATGGTCTTGCTAAATTGCCCAGACTGGACTTGAACTTGTGATCCTCCTGCCTCAGCTTTCTACCGTAAGTAGCTAAGATTATTAGGTGCGTGCCAGCGTGCCCAGCAGATGGATGCTTTTAGCTGAACTTTTTTAGCTGAACTTTCTCTTACACTTCCCAAGGACACATGGAACATGAGCTCTGCTAAGCCCAATTTACAAAAGGAGACAGAAGCATCTGGGTTTTGCCAAGTGAGTGACCAAGCTGGGGTTCCAGCCAGGCCTCTGCATTCTGCTAACGCCACGTCTAACTTCGTTTTTCCTTTTTGGTACACGCATTGATGTCCCCTGTGAGGCTGGATGCAGGTGAGGAGTAAGGGAGGAGCTCCAGAAGGGGATGAACAACAAACAAAAGAAAGCCAGCCTTTGCCAACTTGCCCAAAGGGTTTTTTCTTCAACAAGATTTATGAATCAGCCTTCAACCCAAAGAGCATGAGTGTGTGTGCTGGGGGCGGGCAGCAGAAGGACGTGCACTGGGGTGTTCCGTTCCCAGAGAAGGGTCAGCTGTCCTGCACTGGTATTGTTTGGGCATAAAATGGGCATAAAGAAGATGAAGGAAGAACTCAGAAGAGGCTTCTTGCCTTCTTTTTAGCAGCAACTTGAGTGCTGAGCGGGTGGCGCCAAGCATCCAGAGAGAGGCAGCCAGGGCAACCCGGAAGTTTTTTCTTTTTTTTCCTAAAAAGTCTATTTATTTACTTACTAATTTATTTTGACAGCACTGGGGATCAAACCCAGGGCCTTTACACTGAGCTGTATTTCTAGTTCCAGTCCTTTTTTATACATTATCTTGAGACAGGGTCTTTCGAGGTTACTAAATTGCCCAGGCTGGGCTCCAACTTGCAATCCTCCTGCCTCAGCTTCCCAGTGCTGGCAGTCATGTACCACATCACACCTGGCTGCACTGGGCAACTGTGAAGGAAATCAAGTCTCAAAGCAACTTCCAAACTGCTGAAGGACAAGGAAGAGTTGAAGTCATACACGGGCTGGTAGATTCAGTGTCACAACTCTTGCAAAACTATTGTCATATAATGTCATCCATAGTACCTTCTTGCAGAATGGTTCACAGGTAGCTGGCCGCTAAGCCTCTGCTAGCATTGTGGTCATTCCTTAGACCTGGTATATTCCAGTGCCACCAATGCTACAAGACCCTGCAAACCTTTGCCACCAGCCAGTCTAGATTTAAAAGTCTCAGTGACGATATGACCAACTATTTAGTTCCTATGTCTGTGCTCCTGCTGCTAGAGGAGCTTTTCACCTTCTCAGCTCCAGGGGATGGAACCCTCACACAAGGGCAGCTTCTTCACAACCAGGAAGCAATCTCAGACACCGCACAATCACAACAACAAACAAACAACATGTACTGTAACTGAATGAGTATGGTCTATGGTAGAACTGTGGGGGAGGACCGGCGGCAGCTGAAAAGATAAGAAGTATGAACTATAAATGACCTTTATTTTGAGAATGCGGGGAGAGGACCCCCCACCCCGGGTGCAGCATCTCCACCCCGGGTCGGTGATCTCTCTGTGGAACACGTGGAGTGAGGCACATAAGTAGCCTCGGCTTGGGGTGGACCCTAAGGGGGGCATTAGGGATGCACAGGTAGCCCATTGGTCTTAGTTTGGCACCAGAGGTAGATTCCTAAGGGTAGGGGAGATAGGAGCTCCTTGGCTTTACTGGCTACAGTGTCTAGCCTGGGCCAAAACCTTTTCATATCCCATCTTATGATTATTATGAAAAGGGGCGAAGATTTCTCTCTTTAACTGCTTCCTGCTGGCTGAGGGCGCTGTACTGGGGTCTAGGGGAATTGACAGGATGACAGTTGATGCCCAGGTAGAAGCTGGTGCCAGGTGTTTTAGCCAGGACAACTTCACTGGTGAATGCACGTATGTTAGACTGGAAAAAGAAAGAGACAAGATGTTATGAGGAGACATGGCACTGTCATGTTTAAGGACCCAGGTGAGATAGAAGGAAAGGTGCCTTTGATTTAGACATGTCATTCTATCAGGACCATGTTGAGGTAGGAACATTTCCATGGTAAGGCAGAATTCTGAAAATTAAACGTGGGATTAAGAGGAGTGAAGTTATGAGAGGTGCTTACTCCCCCATCTGAAAGGGTAAAAGTTAAAATGTAGGTCGGTAAGGCTTGTCTCTGGTATGCATGACGTTGGAGTCTGTAGGCAATACTGTTAAAGAGTCCTGCTGTAAAAATGATCATTAATAGAGTGTAAGAAATTAGGAACCAAAGTGGATAACAAAACAGAACAACCTGTGAGTCGTGGCCGTGAGGCCTTGGTAAGGCAGAGATAAGTAGGAAAAGTACGGTCAGATCTAGGGCCTGAGTGATGTGACACCAGAATGGCAGTCTAGCGACTTAGTCCTTAGACTAGAATGATTTGCTGTAACAGAACTTTAGCAAGTATATCAGCAGTTTCCCTGGTTGTGGGAAAGGCTTTTATGTATCCTGAAAAAGTATAAACAAAGTGAGAAGACAAAATGTATCTGTCAGCCTGTATGAAAGGGAATAAAAGCATTTTAAGGTTTAGGACTGGGACCTGCATAAAATAGGGCCTGTTTGTAAATGGCATAGGTTGACCTCCAATATCCCATCATAGAGATTGAGGATTTAATATAGCAGCCTGAAAATCCAGGAAGAACTCTGTATATATGGGCTCTATGTCCGTAAATACAGAGAACATTTTTGAAAGTGTTTTGACCCAGGCCGGATACTGTAGCCAGTAAAGCCAAGGAGCTCCTATCTCCCCCACCCTTAGGAATTATCTCTGGCGCCAAACTAAGACCAATGGGCTACCTGTGCATCCCTAATGCCCCCCTTAGGTTCCACCCCAGGCAGAGGCCACTTATGTGCCTCATTCCACGTGTTCCACAGAGAGATCGCGTACCCAGGGGTGGAGATGCCGCGCCCCTAGGGGGGTCTCTCCCTGCATTCTCAAAATAAAGGTCATTTATATTTCATACTTCTTATCTTTTCAGCTGCCGCCGGTCCTCCCCCCACAGTTCTATCAGTCTACTTCTCGTGGTTGCTGGGAATGCAGAATCAGATCATTTAGGCCAGGGGTTGGCTATTAATCACCGTAAAAGAAGCTCTGAGTGGCAGAAGAAAGAAGTGCAGGAGGTTGTATCAGTCACCGCTCACTAGAGAAACAGATTTAACCTATGATGTATAAATATAAGGATTTGCAAAGGAGGCTTACAATGTCCGCCCACAGAGTTAGGGCAAAAGGCTCTGTCTGCGTGCTACAGAGCCAAAGGATCCGCCCAAAGGTCAAAGGCCTGGAGCTCACTGCAGAGGAAGCAGAAAGGTCCTTGCTGGAAGCTGCTAATCCAATTTAGGTGGGTGTCTCTTACTCAACTTGATGCAACCCACTAGCTACCACGGAGATATTCTTTGTTGAATGGTCAGTTGAGCTCTGACTTCTGAGATGACTAAAAGCCAAGAGGAATAATTCTAACAACAATAGCCATAAATATCTAGTTTACTGGGTACTTCTCCTGTCCCAGGGGCTGTGCTAACCACTGTATGTATACTGTCTCCAAACTCAGGATAACTCTGTAAAATGGATATTATTATTATTTCCTACTTTCCTGATGACAAAGAAAAGTCTGGCATAGTTAAGATATGGTTCAAGATCAGCCAGCTAGGAAACGATGGGACTAGGATTTGAACTCATGTCTGTTTGATCCCAGAACCCAAACTGTTAATGACTGCTCTATAATTATCTCTGGCACCACACATCTGGAATAAACTACTGAGAGCTTCCAGCCACGAGCCAAGTCTTCTTGAAGCTCCAAGGTCAGTTCATAAAAGCTGCAAAGGCACACGCTAACTTATTCCTTGCCATCTTTTCCATGTTGTCATCTCCTGGGCTGGATTGCATTTTAAAAAGTGATTTAAAATTTCCTTCTTTTGCTCTCCTAGGAATAGGGGCAGAAGCAAGTGAGAAGTAAGTGAGAAGGTGCCGAGGACGGATGTGGAGCACAACTATTGACCCGGTCATGGTAGATTTGCCATGGCAGGGAGCCTGGCGGGACAGGGGTCTTCAGTCAGCAGTTTCTCATTCATTCTTGGAACCAAAACCTCCCTGGCACAATGGTGAGGAAGACAAGGCTGATTTTATACTCAGAAATGTCAGAGTTGGAAGGGAACTTAGAATCTCCTAGTCTGGTCATTCTTGAGCACTTTTAAGTGATGGAATGCATTCTTTAAAGCAGTCTGACCCCTGGAAATCAAGCAAGAAAACTGAAACTTGAAAGAGAGAGACCTGTCCCCGCCTCATGCTTGTCTGGTGGCAGAGTCAGTTCCCAGACCCAGGATCCAACCCCTCAGGGCAATGCCCTCTGCCACAGCACAGCTCCTGGGCTCCTTCCCACACTGTACCACTCCTTTAAGATTCCTCCCCCAGCCTTAGGCAGGTAAAAGAGAAGGCGCCATTGTACTCAGAATCCCAGGAGACAGTGAGATGCAGATTGGCTGAGCTCCTGCAACCCTCCAACAGAGCAGGAAGCGTGGTCACTCCCACATTGCCTGGGTGCTATGCCGTGGAGGCGCTGTGTTGGTTCTGCTTCAGTAGGACCTGGTGGAATCACCAAGGGGACACCGGGTGGTCGGTCTGAGGATGTGTATCCAGTGGAAAACCCAACCACATCCAGGTTTGAAGTTCTAATGGGAAACAAATGACACCCCAAGCAAAGTGTCTGAGGCCCTTATGGAATGAAGGGCCATTTATTAAGGTGTGAGCAGGGCTGAGGGAGCTTGGCAAACATTGGCACAGCATCACAAGCTCACCTTAGGGTGGCATGGAAGAGGTTAGAAGATGGGCTGCTTGCTAAGGGCTGCAGTGTCTGGGAGGAGAATGCAGCCATTCGCTGCAGGGAGGGAACAGAAACAGGTACCTGTCCTCACTCTCCTCCAGCTGCACCTCTATGCAGGCCAGGAGCCAGGGCAAAGTATCCTGGACCATGTTGTTCATCTGGACGGGAGTCAGCATCACAGGAAAAGGCGTATGGCGGCAGAGGGTAGCGAGAACAGCTGCAGGATGGCTCAGTCTCTTTCATGCTGCTGCAACACAGTTCCAGAGCCTCTTCGTTTCTAAGGAGGAGGAAATTATTCAGAGTCTGGAGACTACGAAATCCAATGTTTAGGTGCCAGCATCTGGTGAGGGTTTCTTAAGGGCTTCTTTCTACATCATCACATGGTGGAAGGCAGAGGGTAGAAACCCACCCACAGGACAATGATTATGATACCTTCTGATCCGAACACCTTTTAAAAGTCCCAGCTAATTACACAATTACAAGGGCAATTAAATCAAATTTCAACATGCGTTTGGGAGGAAACCATAGAAACACGTCTAAGACATGTTACCCAGAGGAAGCAGGAGGCCTGAGAAATACCTGATTCTGCAACCCTGAGCACACTCCAACCACTCCCAGAAGTTCTCATGGGACACAGGGACTTTGCAAGAGCCGATGAAGGAAAGAATTTGGAAAATAAGGTCACGAATGTGACCTCATTTTTACCTATTAATGCCTGGGGAAACTCAGTACACTTTCTTCCTAGAATCCTGCTCATGTGGGGTTGACAGTAGAGGGAGAATGTGATGGTTGGAAAGGCAGGGGAGGTCCCCGCATGTCCCTTTGCCCTTGGAGTACTCTTTACCCGCAGCACTCTGGCTACCAAGGCAGCCTTTCACGCTGTTATTACAGCATGAATCTCAAAACCAGCTACACCCTGAGTGACAACAGACTCCACACAGTAAGGACACAGTGCCCCAAAGATCGCCCTCACACGAGATGCTAGCCCAACTTTGGGGGTTCCCCCCAGCCATTTGCACTTCTCATCACCTAATTATAATCATCACCTAATTATAAATGAAAAGTCTCCTCCTATCCCCCTTATCCCATTTAATTTGCTAAAATGGCTCATAGAATTCAGGAAAGTACTAAACTAGTGATTTCGATTTTATTATAAACCAAGATTAGTTAGATGAAGAGAACTTTAGAATGTAGAGAGCCTTAACATAGAGTTTCTGGGTCTTCTCCACGTGGACCCAGGAAATGTCACCTCCCAGCACATGAGTGCTATTCACCAGCTGAGAGGTTTACCTGAGCCTTAGCATCCAGTGTTTTTATCAGGCCTAAGTGAGCAAATCATTGGCTGCTTTATTGCATCCCATCTCCAGCTCCCCACCCTCGAGGCCGATATCACATAGTTCAAAGTCCCAGCTTTCTGATTTTTTTTTTAGTCTGTACTGGGGATCGAACTCACAACCCTGCGCTTGCAAGGCAGGCACTTAGGCCGCTGAGCTAATTCCCAGGTGGTCCCCAGCCCAGCTTTCTAATGATTTATCTTTCTGGCATGCCAACTGCTGTCCTCAAAGTATCTAGAGGCTCTCTATGAGCCACCTCTTCAGTACAAACTCAGAAGTGGTCTCAGAGACCAACTGTGAATAATAAAGCTACTCCCACCGCTGGGTGAATCCCAAGGGTGTAGAAGGTTTGTCCCAGGAATCCAGGATAAAGACCACACAGATTCTTAGCCTGGCTGTCACAGGCTGAAACATTTCAGCTGGACCCAACAAAAAGGCCTGCACTGGGGTGGCTGGAGGTCTCCTAGGTCCCAAGTGACTGTCCTTGTAGTGACTGTTGGGACTGCTGTGCAGAGGATTCCGAGGCTATTTCCAGGATCAGCATGAAGTACTGACCGAGTCACAGGAGAGGCTAAGACGGAGCATGCGTGTTCTGCACTTGCTAAACCTGGCCTAAGGGATTTTAAAGAAGGAAGTAAAATGTTATTGCCAGGCTATTTACAAATCAGGGCATGCGCATTATGAAGTGTATGGTCCTTGCCATTTTAGCCCCAATCCTAATGTCATGAACCAGGCTCCATATTTAACCCCCATCACCCGGGAAGTCATAACTCTGTATTTGCCCTCCACCAATCCAGACTCAGAGAGGGAGCATCTGAGCATCTCACTGCCTGGCTCAAACCTGCCCTGTAGGTTCTAATTTCCTACCTGAATGATTGTTTTGGTGAATGTGACTACCAAGTCAACCTGTCCCTGTGCAGGGCTGATATTGGCTGCTGTGTTCTGGTTCTTACACCAGTTGTTAAAGGATTAAAACACTTTAGACCACATGTTGATAGATTTCTGCTGTGTAGAGAGGCCACACTGACTCCATCTTGCCCCGGACACATCTGGTTGACAGTGGTATGGGAAAAAGTGCAGGCCTTGAAACATCGCTCCCACCCCAAGGTAAAAACATGAGGTCCTGTAAGGATAAGAAGCCAATAAGTTATATAATCTGAGCTTGGGCAATTTGAGTTTCTTTGTTCTTTATCTCAATGAAAGCTGCTTGCTTAGGCTGGCCGGGTGGCAGCCATTTTGCTGACCCTTAGCGTGTGCGACCCTTTATTTTCCCTTTGCTTGCAGAACCCCAACATCTGGCACGTGAACTGGGAACTCACAGCGGAGATGTCTGCTGTGGTGTGTGATTTAGCCTTGCTGTGTTCCTGGGGTGGAATACAGCAGCCAACTGGCATCCACTTCATTTTCTTCAGAAAATCCCCAGGTAAATCATGGGGAATTCCCTGTCCAAAGAGTAGCGGGAACATAAGGCAGAATTTCTTTTTCTCCTTAAGAAGGTGGGCCATGGGCTCCCTGAGCATAATTTAGTACAACTTTTGTGAGAAACTCATGACTACTGTCCTTGGTATCCTGAGGGAGGAACACTCCTTATGGAGGATTGGGAAAAGAGGCCAACTGCTGCATGCGGAGCCTCGAGCCCCTGTCTCTGTCCTGCACACCTGGCAGCTCTGCCCAGAAGCTGCTGCAACTTTTGGCCAGGGAACAGACGAACACTGCGTGGCTGACTTCCAGGAGCTCCCATCTGCTGCCCCTAACTTGATTGGTAAGGCCTTATTTTCTTTTGACCACTCAACAGTTAGCTCCTCTATTCCATGCCTTATGGGGTCACACAGACCCTGCTGTGATCTCTGACTCTCTCCTCCTTTACAGCAGGCCCTTCCGAGCATTGCTCACACACTCCCACAGTTATGGTGGTTCAGGGCCCGAAGGGCTGCCCTCTCTCCTTACTCATTTTTCATCAGCCCCTTTGCCCAGTGGGGCTCTTGTTGCCATCCAGAGCAGCAAGGTATTTATTGTTGAATGGTTACATTTACCTCACTCGCCCGGTAGTACTTTATTTCCCATTATCAATGCTATTTCTGCTCTTATCTCTCAAGGACTACTGGTACACCGACACTCCTTGGAATTTATCTCACTGATAATGTTTTACTACTTACCAAGGCTGGCCTCTGCTTTCTTCTGTCCTCTACTGTTTCTCTTCAACTCTCTTTGCCTATGTTGGTTCCATTTCTTTCAAAACACCCCCAGACCCAGGCTGGCAGGGGCCAGCACCCCTGCTGACCTGGGGAGGAGGGGATGCTTCTGTGTTTTCTCCAACAGGTCCTATGTGGATTCCTGCTCACTGCGTTTGCCATGCACAGAATGAATTGGTACCATGGTTTCGCCTCTCCCTGAGTCAAGCCCGGCTGCCTCAGAAGCAACCCAGTATGACAACTGCTCAGCCAGGAACCTGGGGCAATATAAAGGCACTGATCCAGTCTGCACAAGACTTGCCCCATACATCTGAAGAGGAACCCACTGCTGCAAGAAGCGGTGTTTACTAAATTGACAGTGAACTCTTTAATGCTTGTTTGTATTCTATTGCTTTATGTTTTGCAACCCATCATGGGGATATTAGAGTCCCACAACTTCCAGGAAAGATTGGAATACAATATTTGGGTTCAACTGGCAAAAATAGCTAATGTCTCTCATTTCTGTCTGGCTCAAAAGACAGAAATAAAATACATTCTTGGATCCTGTCTGATTCTGATATGCAAAGACCCTGCCTCTCTAAGTATTTACACCGTTTTCTCCACTGTTCCAAACAAAATTGTAACATACGGTGACTATCCAAATTGGGGAACTCACACCCTTAACAAACCTGACAATGCTGTTAAATGCCTCATGTGCTCCTAATGAAAATTGTACTACTCAATGTCTGCCTTCCTAATAGTCCTGGGAATTGTTCTAGTTATGAGCCAATATTGTATAGATATGGACATGTTCCTCTCCCTGCTGGATGCTTTATGCAATGAAATAGCTCAAATGTGCTATCTTAATTTGTCTGATGAGAGTAACCCCATCAATGGGAAACTTCATGATTTACAAGAACTTACCAAACAGATCCATATGTCCCAAGGGCTCAATACTGGATTCCGGAATTTCTTTACAGGATGGTTACCAATCAATTGGCTAAAACAAGTTTTTCTTTATGGTGTTACTGTCCTTATCTGTTTAAATGGTATGGGTACAATGCATCCCATCCCTATACAAAATGTTCATACCTAAAATGCTGGCTTCTAATATGTAAGAAAGCCTAAACTGAAAAAAGAAGGGGGAGATGTAGAGAGGCCACACTGACTCCACTTTGTCCCGGACACATCCGGTTGACAACATTATGGGAAAAATGCAGGCCTTGAAACACTGCCCCCACCCCAAGGTAAAACATGAGGTTCTGTAGGGTCAAGAAGCAAACAAGTTATATAACCTAAGCATGCGCAATTTGAGTTTCTTTGTTCTTTATCTCAATGAAAGCTGCTTGCTTAGGCTGGCCGGAAGGAAGCCATTTTGCTGACTCTTAGTGTGTGCGACCCTTTATTTTCCTGTTGTTGCACAACCCCAGCACTGTTGCCTCTGGAACGCCCTCCCACCATCCTGGCTTTACTAGCCTTGCCCTAGATCAGGATGGCTAAGTATGCAATTAGCAGAGCACAGTGCAAAATAAAAGCATGGGGCCCCATTCAAAAATAAGACTTTCAAGACAGTGAGAGAAACGCATCCAACCAAGAGAATACGGTGTCCTTTTGAGTGTGAGACCCTCTATCTCGTGGGGCCAGACCAAACTGTACAACTCACAAGCCTGGTGACGCCAGCCCATGGCCAGTGTATTTCTGATTAATACGAGGTAGCAGAACAGTCCTAGTGCCCACTCTTTGCTCTCTCAAATGCAGGAGAAACTTGCAGTGCGATAAAGAAATCTCTCTGTCTTCAGACCCTGCTGGGCCAGGATTGTCACCACACCGTCCCTAACTCAGTGCATCCTGACAAGTGTTCCCTAGGGCCCTTCAGTCCTTAAAGAGTGTGCCAATCTCCTCCCCATCCAGTTGTGTCCTTGCAGCCCTCACAGGGCAACCAGGGTTGATTTTTGGAAGGGACAGGATGGGACTCCGTTATTGGAAACTTTTTCTCAGAATGCACACAGTCTTCCCAAACCTTATTATTAACAGCTGTCCTTCATCAGCAGCATAAAGAAACAGATGCTTTCTACCAGCGTTGTGGTAAAACAGTAAAACGCTTATTTATAAACAGGGCTGAAGACATCGCCGTTGCAGATGAAAGGACTCTGGTATTCACTGGATGTGAGGAGAAAAGTGCGCTGGGTTTCCTTGTTCTGACTTACCGAGCTGAGCTCCTGTCTGAGGGGAACTGGGTGAGCAGCAGAGCAAACGGCTGAGGACAGCGGCCACCAAGTGGGGCTCGCAGGACTCCTGGGTCCTCCCCACGCCTCCCTTTCTTGCTCAGGCCGGGAGGAGAAGCACTGAGGTGCATTGAGAATGACACGGGGTAGAGCCATCAGCATCAGAAAGTCACTGCGAGCAGGGCCAGAGGAGGTTAGGGAAGGGGGAGAGATGAATGGGAGGCGAGGGGGCTCTGGGGCGGTGAACAAATCTGTGTGACGCTCTGGCAGTGGCTGCACGGTATTCTAGGCTTGTCCACAACTCCCAGAGTGAGCCCCTGCGGAAGGCAATGACTCGAATTAATGGTGATACGCTAGCGTTGGTTCACTGACTGTAACCAAAGGACTAGCACCAGCTGCTAAGAAAGAGGCTACTTATAAGGCTATCTGGGGACTCTGAATTTTCTGCCCAGCTTTTCTGTAAATCCAGAAGTGCCCTCCCAGCAAATTCTATGAATTAAAAATCATAAGCATTTATTAGAATCTGAACACAGTGGCACATGCCTATAATCCCACCATATATAGGTATCTTTGTGTTCATTGCTTGTTATGATTCTCTCTCTTTCAGGTCTTTCCTAACCAACAAGATGGGGGAAAAAAGAATGGCCAGAGTTGGCCACAAGCACAGATGAATCCACACTGTGGCGTCGGACCTGAGGCCACCACGTACAACTGCCCAGGTGGTGCACTGCACAAGGGCACTACATCCATGAAAACATGTTCTCCTTACAGACCGTAGAGCTCGGTGTTTATTCTCTGAATTCCAAGTGGTGCTTATTCCTAACGGTTTCCAAAGTTAGCGTGGGTGGCTCTGTTTAGACTGCAATACTTTGAGAGGCTGGGAGACTTCATGGGGCCCAGCCTTGTTCACCTGGAAGCAGATTTGGGATTTGTGGTAAAACCTGTGTATGTGTCACTCTCCAGAACCTTGATGGGGTGAACCCTATGCATTGGAAGCTTGGAGAGGGACATAAATGGGAACTTGAAGCCCAGCCGTAGAGAAGGCCAGGAGGCTGACGGCTATCTCAGACGCGCTCAGGGTGCAGAGCCTGTGCACAGCGCAGAGGGCGTGGCGTAACGCCATCGCGTAGTGTGTGGGCGCTCATGAGAACTGCGGTGCTGAAGGCTCCAGTATAGATGGCTGGGAGCCTGCAGCCCGACCTCCTCCATATTTTGCAGATCCCATCTCAGACCTTGCGTGCCCACTGCTTGGAGAAGGAACCCAGATAAGAGAGAGCACTCAATGTTCGCACAGGCTGACCCCCTCCACGGGACCGGTCTGGGTGTGGTCTTGAGGAGGGGTGAGGCCTGAAGAGTTGGCCGAGGCAGCCCAGAGGGTTGGCCACACTGTCTTTAAACCTCCTTTAGCCATGAATCTGATTTCCAAGAGGAGGTATGTGGGGAGTGACCTTAGGAGGTGACCTTGCCCATAGCATTGTGGAACAGGAGAGCGAACAGGTGAAAAAGGCCAACTGAGCAGATTCCAAAAAGCCAATGCCGGGGCCGCCTGAGGAAAGCCAGGTATGCTTTCCTACCACAGCTTCTGGAAGTCGGAGCAGAGCCTCAGGACCTGCAGGCCTGGCAGGTGGCTGACAGGTACTTAACATGGAGAGAAGCCAGGGCAGTGGTGACACAGAGGAAGGAAACTCCCAACCTGCTAGGTGGCCGATAGGAGATCGTGTTCTCTAAAACTGAAGGAAGAATTTTAGGAACAACAGAGGTTAACAGCAGACTGTGTTTACTGAGAGAAGAAAGCTTCTGTCTGAGACAGAGACAGAAGGGGTCCCAAGTGGGTTGTCAAAGACTCTTTTCTAGGGAGTTTTATAGAGCAAAACCACAAAGTGAGGCAGGTCCAAGGTGGGGGAAGCATCAGAACTCAGCAAGGTGGGCATGAGGTGGGACCGAACTACGGCCAACAGTAAGATTAATTGCTCAGGTAACATTGATTAAATTGGGGACAAATGGGGAAGTGAGTCATAGGGAACTGGGTTAGTGACTCCTGGCTTCCTCAGGGTGATGGAGACCTATTTAGAATATCAGTTCCTGGTGTTTATCCTTAGGAATATATGGGTACATTTGTTTTATCTTTTGTCTTGAGGTCTGGCCCACAGTGAAGGTGTGTCTCCCCCAATGCGTGCAAGGTATCTCGTCTTCTGCACCCGCTCCTTCCAGGGCCTAGCCCTGTCTGACTGCTTCTAATATTTCTATCTAACTCAGCTGCCTGTAACAATGGTACATGCCTATAATACCAGCACTCAGTAGGCTGAAGGAGGAGGATCACTGCAAGGTCCAGGTTAGCCTGGGTTACAGAATGAGTTCAATATCAGCCTGAATTGCATAGTGAAACCCTATCTCAAAAAGACAACACAAACCACACACACACACACACACACACACACACACACACACACACACACGGAGAGGATACCAGGGGAACGCAGACTGAGAAGGCGCTGCAGTCACATCTCAAGGTTATAGCGATCTTAAGAGTAAGCTTCGTAAGCAACATGAGAATCTTCTGGGACTGAAGGCCTCTCCGACTCCTGCGGCATGCATGCCTCCTTTCAGCTCAGCAGATGTCTGCATCTCCCTCTCTGAAGAGGCTGACGCCCTGTCTGGACAGGAAGGCAATGGAATGTGGGCATGTGGGTGGCAGGTTAAAGAGAGACATCACTGGTTTCCGTGCTCTGCAACTCCCAGCCCTTTTCCAATCCGAGGACTCTTTCCAACGGGACAAAACTAACGATGCCACTGCACACTCTTGGTAAAGAGCCCACACAGATCCCTTACGACATGATCAGAATAGTCACTGATCTGATGAGAAAGTGCCATCTGAAGGGACCTTGGTGATTTGAAGAGGAAAAGTAAAGAATCACTTGTGCGATAAACAGTAAGGTTTTGGGCCAGTTACCAGGTGGGGGGAAAAGCAAGAGTGGGGGATGCAGTTGGAAAGGCCAGGCTGGGATTAGCGTGTCTGATCAAAGCACTGGACTGGTGGGCACAACGGGGCTCATACCAGGGTCATACCTTTCCTGAGGGCCTGAGGCTGCATCCGTCAGCACAGTCACCGAGTCTGCCCTGGGTCTGACCGGCTGTCACCCTGGAGACCAGATAGAGGAAGCCCTCTCAAGCTGGGCTCCAGAGATGGGAGTTAATTCAGAAGATAATGGGGGAGACTGCTGGGGGTTTGAAGACAGGAGAGTGCTGTGTGCAATTGAGTTAGATTTAAAGACGAATCCATGTATGAGACTCACACTGTGAGAGGTGATTACGGGCTGCACCAAGGTTGCCTGGGAAATTCCAATGAATCACATTTATTCAGTGTCTGAGGAGGCAATGGGAGACTAAAAAAACAGGAACTGCACAAACAGTATCACGCCCTTTGGATGGGAAACAAGAAGCTGACAGAAAGTGTGAATCAGGATTCCAAGACTGGTAGAAAGCAGCTACAGACCGCTGGGAACTGAAAGCAGCACCTTAGCACCTTAACCTGACGAATGTCACAAATCCACTAGCACCCCTTTACCTGGCCTCACTCCAGAATGCAAGGAAAGAATGTCTTTCTTTTCCTGCTGCTGAGCTGTTTTGGCTAAAAACAGCCTCGTGTCAAAGTGCCAATTGTGTGCCAAGGACCAAAAGATGAAAGACGGTATAAAACTGGGTTTCCTGGTAAATGTTTTGTTCTGGAAACCCTACCCCACGCCCGAATCCCCAACCTTCTGCACAAGGGTATCCCTGACAGAGTAACCAAGGAAGAGACATAGCCATGCCAAGTGATACCTTGTGTCAACTTGAGAAGTTTGGGGATTTAAATGAGAGACTCAGCAGGGAGCCAGGGCCCTTACTTTGTAAGGAAGCAGAAGAGGCTTGCTCTGGCTGCTTTTGCTGGCTGCTGCCTTGAAGTGTTGCCCCTGTGCCATGCCACCCTGCCTTGCAGCCAGCTGATTATAGGCTGAAATCTCCACAGACAGTGGGCTAAATAAACCTTTCCTTCCTTCATGTTGAGTGACAGGTATTTTGTCCCAGCAACAAGACAAAAATCACCAAGACACCAGGCAACTAACTGTCTGATGAAAGAAACAGAGCTGCCTGTTAGGAAGCTGCTCTCCCTTCAGCCAGCCTGAGAAAGTGGGATTTATCTCCTGCCTTCCTCTCTGACTAAAGGTCTTGGTTTCAAGTGCAAATAACAGTCTGGAAGAGAAGGCAGAAGGCTCATTACTAGCCATTCACACCTTGGTTCTTTTAGCAGGGCCCAAAGGAAGGCGGAGGCTCCAAGGTGAAGCCTGACAAACATTAATCATACTTCAGAGTAAACTGAGAAGTCATGCTCTTGTTATCTTGGCCCTCACTGCAACCCTGAGCCCCTCATAGGAGTACTGCGAGGACCCGGAGATGTCCGGTGACTTGCTGAAGGACACAGATGGTTGTGGATGGAGTGGGGACTTGAACCCGGGGCCTCTGACCCCATTGGAGCGCCTGTCCTAGTTGTGGATCGTTGGTAGCCGCTGAGGACTGTGGGATGCTGCACCAGGGTTATGCATGGTGTAGCCCTGAGAAGACCAGAGTTGAGGGCTCCTTGGAGCACATCACCTGTCTCCTCCACAAGGTCCCATTCCTGAGCTCAGAGTGAGATGAAAGAATGGTGGGCAGTAATCTCCGGCCACCTGTCCACCCTAAAACTCACCTCTCCATCCTAGTGGTTGGCTCCTCAGGCCACCCCTGCCCTGGAGAGCCTGCCCACAGTCAGTCTGGGCTGGCACTTTTTCTGTCAGAGGCAAAATTGCTGTATATGGGCTTGGCCCCTCCCACGTGATGCTGTCTACCTGACAAGAGAGCATGTTTACAGCAGAGGTGTCTGAGGTACTCAGAGCTCGAAGCTGATTTCCTGTGAGTAAGCTACAGTCGGAGGTAGACAGGACAACTCTGAACTTTGCCTGTTGCACCCACTGAAAGGTTTGCCTGCTGCATCGGGAGATTAATAGATTCCAGGCTGCCCATCTGAAGGACCCCCAATTCCAAATGTGACTCAATAACCATTCCTCCTCCCTAAGGCCTCAGAGGGGATGACCAGCAGACTTGCGGGGGGGGGGGATCTCATGCTCTGTTCCTGATTCAATCATGTCTCCAGCATATACTATAATTTAAAAATAAGTAAATATAATAAAACACTACCAGGATAAACCTCCATTACAACATCCTCCAGAATGACCCAATCACAACATCTTTCATGCTTTGATCTTTTTCATGGACTAATAAATGTAGCTCATTGAATGTAGCATTCAGGAAGGGGTCCCAGAGTCAGGCTCAGTGGTGGGTGCTGATGATACAAAAATGAATTCAGTGTGATTAGGGGAACAATGTGGGGTAGCCAGGAAAATGCACACAATGAGTTCTTTCAAACTAGGGCTAAGTTCAAATTATGGGAGATGGGGAGGCAATGATTATATTTAGATAGAGGGGAAATGTTAAGCCATGGGCTTATCAAGGTGACGTTGGATTGAGCTTTGGACTTTCATCAGGATTCCTGATGAGGAAAAGAGGCAAACTACAAGTGTGTCTGAGAAAGGAAAGGCTGTGGCAGAGATGAATCATGACATGATGTGACACGGAGTACCGGGAGAGGAGAAGGAGGAGAGGAGAGGAGAGGAGAGGAGAGGAGAGGAGAGGAGAGGAGAGAGGAAATGGTTCATTATCTCCATTACATTTGGTGTCCAGCAAAACATAATTTAAGATGTGGAAGGAAGCACAGAAAAAGGGTTGCCATACTGAACACTTGGGCATGGCCACCAGAACTAGCCAGCTTCTCCTTTAGAAGTAGCATCTGCAGGAGAAATGCTGTGAACCAGGGAAGCCACTCCCAGCTCTAACAGGCTGGGGGATATTGGATGAGTACTCAGCCCATCAGCTGATACCTGTACAAGTACAATGTTCATTCCTCCCAGCAGAACACGCATGGCTTCTAAAGAGGGCAGTAAAGCAAGGCTTAATAAAGGGACTGTTTGTAAAAGGACGGACAACAAGTGAGGAGGAAATGCTAGGATCTGCAACAGCTGGAAGCTGTTATTACTCTTGGACTTCCAGGGACAAGAGGATGAAAATAGTAGCTGTGAAAGAGAAGCATGACCAGACATGTGGTCATTGCTAGGGAATGCAGCCACTGCCAATTGTGGCAGGGCAGGTGGAGCCTCGATAATGAATACCCCATCCTGAAACTACCCGCCAGTGCCTCTTACTGAGCACACACAAAAAGCCAGAAGACGAAGGGGCTGGCTGAGGCAGTCTGTACACACCATCTTCCCATATAGAGGGAGGACACAGAGTGGACCAGAAGGAGGCAATGGGGAATATCTCCATGGGTGGTAGGCTGACAAATTTATTTCAATAGTTAATTATATGCTTGTTGTAGTCAGGGATTACTAGGAAAACAATTATAGGACACATAGTTTACAGTATTATTTGTAATGGTCACCCAAGGAGTCAACTACAAAGAAAGTGCAGGAAATTTGTCCACACACTAAAGACCTAGACAATCCAGCTAACGGCCTGGGTCCTATGGAAATAACCTGCATGAATTCAGCTGAAGACTTACAGCCCATGACAGTGCTTCCCCAGAGTCCAGCGGCAGGTCTAGAGCCCACAACAATGACTCATGCAAGTTTGTTTCCACACATCTGCGCTGGGAAGGTCCCAAAGTCAGCGGTGGGAGCTATGCCAGAGGGATGAAGGATCCATGCCAGTATGCTGAGGGACTTGCACTGGAGCTAGAAAGCAACACGTAAAGTAAGGACCAGAGCTCCCCCAAAGTGAACTGTAGCCATTCTCAGCAACAAGGTCCGGAGCGCCTCCAATGAAAACAGACAAGTTCCTATCAGGGAAGTCGGCAGGCAACTCCTCCAGCAGAGCCAACAGCTGCCAAAGAGAACAACACTTAGAAGAACCCACAATGCCACCCTTTTGCTTTCTACTTCTCCTTTTCATGCTGGCAACAGTCCACAGGTGGACCATCTACACTCAGCACCACGCTGATTCAGTTTAGCTGACCATCTGTTTTCAATCCACCACAACGCTTATTTTCACGTATAATATACAGAATATCTATAGCTTTTATTGCCTAAGATAAGGCTAACACAGACATCTAAGTTATAAAAAGAAAATTTAAAAGACAATATTATATAATACAATGGGTGGTAGGAGGATATGATAAAAACCACAAAGATGGCATTTGTAATCCAGAAGTGTGGGGAATTTTAGGCTGGATGACCTAAGATTTGTTTCAGTTCTGCTAATGATTCTCACTCAGCACTTGTAGGTCTCTACAGAAACCAGAAGTGCAAAAATGTAGTTTCAGATAATTTTATATCAGTAAAATGGTATGACCACTCCACTACCCTTTTTTTTAGATTATCCTTCTTCCTAAACGCTAAGAAGAACAAAATGCTACCAAAGACTGGATCAAGAACATCTCCAATTGAAGACAACTCAAACATTTATCAAGGGGTTGAAAGAAATTATGTTATACCCATAGCTCATGGTTTGAATCTAAACTGTCCCCCAAATATCTGATGTGTTCAGAAATAGAACTTTTGTAAGGTAATTGGATTACGGGACCCTATGCTTGTGATGGGATCATAGCTGAACATGTTGTTAGGGCAGGCTTATGAGGGTGTGGCACGGAGGAGTGTGTTTTTGCCCACAGTTCCTCTTTGTTCTCTGCTTACTGGCTGTCATGAGTTGAACAGCTTTCTTTCATTATGTTTCTTCCTTGGAGTCAACCAGCCATAGACTGAGCCATCTGAAACTGTGAGCCAAAATAAACCTTTCCCCGTATAGGTTGTAAGCATCAGGTATTTTGTCTCAGCAATGGGACTGTGACTAACACACCATACTATGCAGCAACAAGAATGAATTACGTACAGACAGAATTACAAAACCAGTGTTGAGTGAAATAAATGAGGCACAGTCTCTACCACAGGATTTCTTTTACACAAAAGTCAATAATAGGGGCTGGGGATTTAGCTCAGCGGCATAAGCACCTGCCTTGCAAGCAGGTGGTAGTGAGTTCGATCCCCGGTACCGATAAAAATGAAAAAGACAACAAAAAAAAGTCAATAATATGCTAATAACCAATCGAGTGGAGGTCAAGAGTGATTACCATGGTGGCAAGAGGGTAAAAGTGGCAATGAAAGGGAGCCGGATGATCTTTGAGAAGGCAGGCTTTGTTTTG